TGTAAGTACCGATGTGCTAGAGCATTGCGTGCCGTTGAGTGGTGCTAATTTGACCTGGTTAACAGGACCCCGTGCACGGCCACGTGGCCTAGTGTTGTGAGTACGTACATTAATTTTGTTGTGATGCTACAAGTTTATGCATTTTGTTGGTGACTTTGAAAAAGCCTTGCACTGTAGTGATCCAGTCTCATTATCTCACGCAGACGGGCGACCACCCAGGAACGCCGTCGCTCACTTCAAATATTGTGCGCTCTGCCTAATCCAATATGAGGGCGCTGAATGTCTTGTATTCATATTCAAATTGCATTCAAGTTGTATCGTGGTGTTTATTTACCGCTTGTGCATTGCTGAACGCTTTGTATAAATTTGTATGAATAAGTGAAGAGTCTCACAATGTTCATGGTTGGTGTGCCCCTCGTATTGTTTGTACGGAAGCCAAATATAGCTACATTGTTGCTCTTGAAACATTTTTTTTTTTAGTTGGTGAGCTCCGGTTAACAGAAGCTTCGTGAAGCTTCTGAAAGAAGCGTCTGTGGGTCTGTTACCATCCTCTGGGGGGTTTACACTAAAGGAAAGAGTAAACATTACCATGTGACAAAGGGTAGGCCATAAGAATATATTCTCTGTAGGAGGGTAAAGCACAGAGTAGATGATGCGTTACTCCCTAAAAAAGGGTTCCGTTAAAGATTTACCCTTTCAAAGAGTGTAACCCAAAAAATGTTACACTCTAGACAAGAGTAAATCAAAAGAGTTTACCATTCAGAAGATGGTAAAAAACGTCTGTGTGTCATGTTACCCCTCCCTGGCGAGTTTACTCTTCATGAAAGAGTAAAATTTACCATCTGGAAGGTGGTAAAAAACGTCTGTGTGTCAAGCTACCATGCTATGGCGGGTTTACCCTTCAGGAAATGGTAAAAAAGTTTTCAGTGTCCTGGCGTTGTTTTGACTGACCAACCAGCGCATTGTAAGATACGGACAGTAATCCGTGCACCCTTGGCCACGAATTAGAATTCTAAGTCATAAGCAAGTGGCCATGAGCCATAAGCGCGAGCCATTGACCGTGATCCATGGAACTGAGTCGCTGTCTATGGGCCACTAGCAGTCGCCGTACATACTCTCACTGTGGGTTGCGGGACATGCCTCACTGGCCCTGGGTCCGTTTGGCAGTGAACCAATGGCCGTGAGCTGGTTGTATGTAGCTGTGTGTCGGCGTTCTGCCCAGTCCGTTACCGTCTGCGTGCCTCTTCACCGGCCCGCCCCCTACCGCGCCGGGCCACTTAGTTTTACGGCTGACTGTGCGACGAATGGTCCATTTGAAAAACGCACCGGCCGCCTCCAGTCCACTCCGGTGGCCGTATTGAGCCGGGTGTAATCGGCGTGGCTGGCACGCGTCGCGGGCATAGGAGGAATCATCAGTCTAGTGTCATTCTGAGCGGTATCATATCTCTCATATCATTAGTCTATCAGAAAAGGAATATGGTAATCACGGTTGTGAGTGTAACTCAATTGCATCCATATACGAGTACAGGAGTGGTAAGAAGCAAGATGATGGCCAGACACCACAGTAGCCGTTTTGACGACGGGCTATCCGGCGAATGCACCTGATTTGACCAAATCTACACCTAATTTCTTTTACAGCAAATATCTTAATTTTATGAATTAATTTCAGTGTTTTAATCGATGATGCTCTCTGATAACATGACAAAGCAGGCATGTAAGCAATTAGTGCAACCCTAGCTGATAGCTGCTAAGAGACACACTGAACCTGATTTGACCAAATATGCACCTAATCTGTACCAGATGTGCACCAAGTGAGTACCAGATGGCCGTCGTGAAGACGGCTATTACCATCAGAATCTCCTACAAAGTAATATCTACGATTCTCTATTTTTGACCGAACTCATGACCACCATGGTCAATCGCCACCATATTTCTCGGTCAAATATCACACCGCTGCGTCCGCCCACCGACCTCCCCCACCATCGATAACAGACGGACGCGGCCAGCGCGGCGGCACGCTCCACGCAGAGCTGCGGTCATCACTCACGTTCTCTCTGTCACCGTTCGTACAAACTGACGACATTTATCGCGCCCGGCGCGGCGAGCCAGTGCTGGAACAGTCACGAGCGCCGACAGCCGACCTAACTTGGCAGGCTGACGGCCGAGACAGATTGACAGATTTGCGGCCGGCAGAGTGCGTGAATTGACGACGAAAATGTGGGAACTGACCACGAAAATAAAAGGGTGGTACCGAGTGCCGATGGAGAGCACAAATAGGAAATATTTGGTCACGAAATTTTCCATAATATCTTCTCATAATTTGTGACGAACCATTCTAAAATATATCACGGAAACATAACATGTACATACTGCTCTCTGACATTCTTTTCACGGTCATCGACTGCCGATAAAATATACTGCGTTCCGTTAAAAGGCATGTCTATGGCTACAATTTATACAGCTGGAATTCGCAGCACACCCTCGCGAGGGTTCTGAAATAAAACTCAAATGCGCATGCAGTAGAGCCGGAGAGATAAACCGGGGGTAAGCGTGTCGACAGCGCCATCTCTGGGGAGCGATTGAACTAAATGGGGCCATTACTATGGGGGCAGCCACAAACTGGGCACTGAAACTCATCCTCCGGGCTTTAAAGCGCGATCTGCGCAGCAGACTAGCCCGGGGGAATGGAGAGTAGTGCGTTTGGTTTCCTGTCATTACCGGAGAGTTACAGTCACGTTCACTTTAAATGAGATTTGTGATACATATCTGCTGATATTCAGCAAGACTCAATGGGGCATGGCATTTGACAAATGAAAATTGTGAGGATAAATCGAAAATATAAACTAGAGTACAACTAGAAAATATCAAGAGGATTAATATGCAGGGTTGTGCTTGACTCATGAGTCGAGTCAGAAATTTGACTCAACTCTGACTCAAATGAGTCAGATTTGAGTCGAGTCGGATAAAATGTTGAGCTGTTGAGTTGAGTCAGAGTTGAGTCGGACAAAAGTATTAAGGCGTTGAGTTGAGTCAGAGTTGAGTCAGTAAAATAACTTTTGACATTGAGTTGAGTCAAACATTTAGGAACATGAGTCAGCTGACTCAACTTTCTAGAAACAAGCTTTTCATCCCCTTCCCCCGCTTAACAACTTCGCCCTGGCCCTGCTGCCGGATTTTTTTTTTCACCCCCGCCCCCGCTCAACAACTTTTTTATCTGAGTCAATTTTGAGTCAACTCACTTGACTCAACAAAAAATTTGAGTCAAGTTTGAGTCGACTCATATTTTCATTGAGCCGCTTGAGTCATGAGTCGAGTCGAGGGAAAAAAATCAGCTCCTTGTTTGAGTCAGAGTTGAGTCAGGGCTTTCTGAAGTTGAATGATGAGTCGAGTCGGCAATTTTTTTGAGTCGAGCACAACCCTGTTAATATGCTTAAGCATTAACAATGGATGGTGATTGGTGTACAAGTAACTACACGAGCACGAACCTATATTGCACAATGCCAGGCTATTGCTTGATCCAAAATACCTATAGCCGAAATAGAGAATATGCCGACGCATCCTCTCCTAAACGTTTGTTACTATTGTGCATTTTAATTTGCGTAGTTGAGGTGGTTAATGGAGACCGAAAATAATAAGTAGGTACTAAAAAAAAAAAACGTAGCGTATGTTACCGGCCACCGGCAGTGTGATCAGGTGCCAGGAGGAAAGAGATTGACACTGCTCTCCATAAACATCGGGATCTTCCAGGGATCCTGCCTGGGACCCATGTTGTACAACATCGCCTCCATCGGCGCTACCTGCTACGTGCCGTCCGAGGTGAATGGCAGCATGGTCAGGATGGCCAGGTAATGTCTTTACTCAATCTTGCCATACAGTTTGCCGAACATTAATTGATAAATGCAAATGACATCGTCCCATGTCATCTGAGAAAAATGTTGGCAATATGTTGACAAACAATATTACCACATGAACACTAGCAAAAGTTCATGCTGATTTCAATCACTAGCAATAGGAAGCAAGGCTTTCATCTAAGATGAGTATGTTTTCTTTTAGCAATGTCCTAGATTTTGTGAAAAGAAGCGATCAATCTTCTGTCATTGTCGACTGTTATTGTTTATGCTACGCAGGAAGCTCATTTCCCTCGCAAATAAACACTACAACGTCGATTGACTGCAACCATTACATAAACAATATAAGCGTGGCGCAGGAAGAACGGCCCATATCGAGACGCTCCGTGTATTCAGGGCAATGTTCTGGATCGGCCTGGATTCTTGTCGCCTTCTGGGCTCTGGCGCCTGGGCAGCGTGCACCTTATATGGGGAAGTGGCTTCAGGTTATGAAGTTGAATGTGAATAATATCAGTAACCTCCTTACTTGGATATTTACATATGCATGTGCGCATATGTAGAAAAAGATTACTTTTGGAAAGGTTTATGGCGTGTTTCGCATTTGTTGAAGGCACGTTTATTACTTCGCAATTAAACCGTATATAGTAATTATACTGCGCAATGCAAAATGCACATGTCTGAGAAGAGTCTCATATGGCGAAGAAGAAGAAGAGAAAAAACAACAAAGAAAGCGATACCAAACACCAACAATCTCAGCTCAGAATTCCCGCATGGCTCCTACTACATATAACATGGCAAAAGCGCACACAATACTCAACCAAGTCCCAGAATACCCATTTCAACCGCACAGGCATTCATGCAAGGAGGTTTCTATTCAAATAAGATCTCTTCCTTTCAAATTACACGCGGCAACAGGAGAGTCTCAGCGTGCATTACGCTAATGACTCGTGGAAGGTAGTTGGATATGTGTCACCCTGAGAAGGAGCGTCGTCTCGGTTATATATCACGTAAAATACACAGTTCAAGCCAAGCATGCGTCTACCTTAGCGTGGTGAAATTAGCACTCGAATGACGAATGCAACCGAAAATCATTTCATCGTCATGGCTCATGTTGTGATACATTCCTACCACACACAGCTAAACAGGACTTACCGTTCACTCGTCTTTCTGCTACGAGTTCTTCACTTTGTCTTCCTCCCACGCCTGCCTTCAGTGCCCTCCGTGAAACCACAACGCCCAGTCGACGGTCACTAAAAAGTCCCTATCCCTTCTCCGCCAGAATCTCTACGCTCCGCCCGTCGACGCGACACAACCTTCCTCGCCGACGGCCCGCGCGCGACTGGCGGCCCCGGTCTGGCCGTCGACGGCCGGGTCAGAAGGTCACCCCTCGGCCCCTCCCCTCCCCCGCAGGAGCCCCGTGAGGGCGACCAATTAGAGACGCAGGTTTACCGGTCACTCAAAGAGGGCCGGGACGACCGGACGGCGAGCCGTTCCAATCGGAGCTGACGCAGAAATGGCGGCTCCACGAAGCTAATGGTGGTAAACAGTGTTAAATTGCTAATTGTCGCTTCTGAGATGTCGAAGGTTGGATTGGAAAGGTTTCCGTTGCATGACACTGTTAAAAAGATGGTCAAACTCTTCATAAAATCATTTGTTGTATGAAATTAAGAATGACAATAATAAGGTAGCTTATTTGGCTTAAGGTAGCATAGAACAAATAAATCGTTTGCCACGGCAAATTGAGTCAATACTTAACCTACTAACGGTAGTAAGTACTAAGTAGTAACAGCTGTAAATAGATGTAACCTGCAGAAAAATCACGCTGTTCGCTCAGTCGTGTCTGTTCAATTAATAAGTAAAAGTGATGGTCTTAAAGATAAACAAGGAATAAAAACATAATAACCTATTTGAAATGTCATTTCAATAAAACCGATTTTTAAACTCAATAATTGAAATGCCTATTGCGGGACCTTCATCTCCGGCTGTATGTAAGCTGTTCGTACTACTATAAGTCAGCTTGAACTAAGCACAAACGCCAGTGAAGTGAATAGTGATCCAGTTATCGTGGTGAAGAATAAAAGGAGTGAAATAAGTTATGTATTATCCTGAGTCTAATGCTCAACTTCGTATTCAATGCAACAAAATATGAAATTGTATTGTTTAAACGTAGTAGCCGTTTTCACGATGGCCATCTGGTACACATTTGGTGCACATCTGGTGCAAATTAGGGGCAAATTTGGTCAAATTAGGTTCAGTGTGTCTCTTAGTAGCTATCAGCTAGGGTTGCACTATTTGCTTATATGCCTACTTTGTCATACCTATCATCAAAGAGTATCGATTAAAACACTGAAATAAATTCATAAAATACATAAAGATATTTGCTGTAAAAGAGATTAGGTGCAGATTTGGTCAAATTAAGTGCATTCGCCGGATAACCCGTCGTGAAAAGGGCTAGATAAGCTACCTGAACAAGCAACTTCTGCGTCCGACTTTACTTTGAGCAAATGCTTTATCGCATTTCTGGGACAGTGAGCAAGTATAATGGTCTCTGAAAACCTCTTAAGACTTTATCAGGTTGCAGCGGAAGCATGCTTTGTTGTTTGTCCGGCTTCAGAGCACGCATTACTCAAAACATGTGAACATAAGCATGAGAACAAACTTACGAACATGAAAATGATCCAGCTGTTTATGTGGGTATGTAAGTAAATAACACACTTAAGCCTTTGTAGGAGTGAAAATCCAATTGTGAGCGCCACCGAACTTCGTTCTAACATTGCGTTTACCCTTTCATTTTATATTCAACTTGGTCCGACTTCACCCAACTTTAGAGTGGACTTTACAGCGCACTCTGGAGCGAGGTTTTCACACAGTTCTGTTTTGGCCCGTAGCGCTCTATTGACATATCGTTAGTGGCAGCGTTGTGAGCGTTTTTGCCTTCGTGCGTCGGTCTGCAAATAGTATAAAAGCCCTCCGAATCAAGCATGATTGTTTTCTTTTACACCAACAAAGAAACATTAAATTGACAGCATGATGTTCAGCATACCAAAATCATTTCAAAAGAAACAACTGGTTATTCCTATTTATCAGACGATTTCATAACGGCCTCCAAAGTCCAAACCGCTGATTGGGAGTGTTATTCAAACCGACACCCGGCCTCTATCTGGTTCGTCGGCCACTTAGGCAGCGGGCCGATGGCCGCTCTCGGTCCGGTGTTGCGTTTCATCAGCGACGCACCCGAATTTCCACCGCCATCTGAGCGGAATGCTGATGATTTCGAGCGATTCGGACCGGGGCTCGGAGCGGGACACCCGCCACTGCCGTGGTTTCCAGTGGTGGACGGGAACCGCGCGGGGCGACGGCCGGGGACCAGGTCAGGCGCGGGTCAATGCAGACCGGGGCTCATTTACACAGATCGACAGTCGAAGAGGTACGGGAGATGTCCCCGCCAGCAGCGGGTGGACGGAAATTATTGTCGGCCGCTGCTCTATCGGTCAGCCCGGGAAGTTTATTACTGAAGTTTTGAAACGTTTATTTTAGACGTGTTTCTCATGAATAATGTAGTCTTTTCTTCGAAAAAGGGCCTGATAACACCACATGAAGCCTCATGGCACATTATTAATAGTGCAGTGTCCAAGCTGTGATATCTTATTGATTATCGTTTGATTTCTACACATGAAAATATGTAAACATAGCCGTTAATGGTCATATCACCTCAAGACTTGTCATAACATCATAAGTTCACATTCTAAGTTTTTAGGGTGAATTAACACTTACTGGCACACTGCCTTCCCGTTTTACGCCAAGTCGTATGTGAATTTTTCGATTCTCTGACATCAATTTCGATAAGCCTATGCCAATGCCGACATTATGCCTGGTTACATAGCATTTTCGACGAGACTTCAGCTAATTAATTTTGCGATAATTTTGATGCAGTGGTCTTGGTAGATTTAAAAATCATCATTTTGTAAATTGAAAGCACCATTGGCAACTATTGCAACTATTGCATGAGCTTGCAACAATCCCTATGTAAGCGCGGCTATTGAGAGACGTCCAAGAGGATTTGGTGACTCAAGTATTCGTGACTTGGGCGATGGCCTGTTGCTAATCACAGTACTAATGTCTTCAGCAGTAAGCGGAAGTCAATGCGAATTCATCCGCGAATGGTCCACGTCTGACAATTTTCGCCGCCCATGCTGCTGTTCTAATCATTTGGTTGCTAGAGGCTGCGCTACAAGTATGCCTCCGAAAATGTTGACCTTGGTAGAGTGTTCTAGCTGCGAATCGCGTTCCCGTTTTAGCTGTGCTACATTACATGTTGAAGGTCGAGTTCCTAGCCGTAGGTGTAGCCGTGCTACAGCGCTCCCGCCGAGTGCCCTATCTCCTGCGTCTCGCTCTGTCGCCTTCCGGCAGTGCAGAGGCACGGCGTAGCTCATTTTTCGACTACAAAGCCCGCTGACAGGTAGCCTTTGTGCTGTCGCCGTCGCTATCTCCTCCGGCTGCCTCATAACCGGCGCTCCCCGCCGAGAGAAAATGACGCCGAAACGGCTACAAACTGCCGCGCCGATCTCTGACGCCGAGCTGAGCTGCGCACGGTGACATCGTCGGGCGGCTGAGACGACAACACGTCCATCGCATAGATCGGAGCGTTCATCATCTGTTCGCAGTTCTGTCCGCATCATCTGTCCTCTTCTGTGTCGCGTTCGCATAACACTCCTTCGTTTGCACAACCGTTCGCAACAGCAATAAAACCTTCAACTCATTCGAATGTTCCTCCTCAGGGAAACATCCGGTGACATTTAAATGTGTTCTGTGCAGTTTCTAGAGACCGGCGGAAAGGCAAGCGGCCTGTACGATCGATATCTCTCCCAGGACAGCCTCCAACTCATTCTCACGCTCTGAAAGTAAGCGACGGAAAGAAGTTGGTCGCAGGGAAGTCGTGTTAGCCCCCACTTCACAAGTTAGCTCTGTTGGTCCAAATTAGCGTTGGCAATCTGCGGCGCGGCTCGAGGATCCGCTTCCGGTGATCAGGCCAGGTAAGAGTTTCCTTCAATTTTGTCTGGCTTTTACAGTCAGCCGCTCAGATCCTTGTTTGGGCGAGGGATGACGAATTTAAGTTGGTATGGAATTAGGAATAGCTTAGAAAATCATTATAACAAGTGAATGGGATAAGGAATGTCCTTAATATCTAACTATGATATACATCATCATTCATCATGGTAATTATCACAACAAACGGGTTGTATGAAGAACATTGCTGCCGTAAACTGGTCTAGGTACTTATGTTCACTGAACATAAGATAAAGTTTTGCTCAATACCCAATGCTCACAGCTCATATATCTGCACTCTGCAGGGTAGGTAAAAGATCCTGTTTTCCGTTTAACTGCAATTGCGCAGCGTTCCGACGACGGCAGAGTCTGTAAGTAGGTAAACATGTCTGGGAGAAAGCCAAGTCAGACGTCTCTTGCCACGCATTCGCCGTTGTTGAATGGTTTTGGTGATCAAAGTCGCGAGCTTTTGAAACAAGTACGTTGTGGACAGCCAGTCAAATTGCTGTAGCTGTAAAATTTTGATATGATTCTCTACGCCAGCCGTCTTTTTCACGATTTATTTTTATGGAATTATTCAATTGAAATACCGTTTTCATCTTTTAGAATCAAACAGCTCAGAGCAGTAGGTTGCCATAAGCTATTGCCACATCAAATTATGCGCTGAAGTGGCCAAGCTGAATCCACACCTAACACACAATGCCCAACGGATCACTATCTTCCTGCACCATTCTTTCACATCGTAAGCCTCATCTTCGTCAGACTAAAGGAGTATTGGCCCAATCGCACGTTATCCATAATTCAGGAAGTGGGCCGTCACACAGCGTTAGTGCCCGGCCGTTGGACCAGTGGGGAGGGAGGGAGGGGAGGTCACTTTTTGTCCTGATGACCGGCTCGCCGATACCGTCTAGGCGAGTCTTTTGGACGTCGGCCTCAGGAGATGGGTCTCATCACCATAGTGGATGACCCGGGCGGCCCCCCGAGCGGCCGGTGGAGGCCAGAGGGAGCAGCCGGCGGGCTGGCGCCCCGCCAGCTGCTGCGCCGAGTCGGCCGCCGTGTGACGGTTGTGACGCGCCGCGGACACGTCATCAGCAGCGCTACAGATTTGTTACGGATGTGGTGATTGCTTAACATGTGTCGATAATATATTTGTAATCGCCGCCCGACTTTGCATTTCTGGTACACGTTTTTTATCTTTTGATGCAGCATGCAATTGCAGCTTCAATTGCAGTGAGTGTTCGCGCGGTGGCTTGCTCATATTCCGGCTCGACGTGACGAATGATGATGAGCAGTCA